TCCTAACATTCATAAAAATCTCATTTCTGTGCACCATTTTACATCACAAAATAATGTGCTTGTTGAATTTCATCCCTTGTTTTTTCTTGTTAAGGATCGAACCACGGGTGCGGTTATACTTAAAGGTGCATGTGAAAATGGTGTCTACAGTCTCTCGGAATCATTGGTAAAAGCTTCTTCAAAAATGGTTGCAAACGTGCATGAACGGACGTCAATAGATGGGTGGCACAAACGTCTAGGACATCCCTCTAATAAAATTGTTCATCATCTTGTTAAGAATTTTTCCCTTCCAATAATAAAAGAAGTGCATGATTCTCATCTTTGCACCTCTTGTTCTATTAATAAAGCGCACAAGCAACCATTTCGGCTAAATAGTCTTCAAAGTCATGCAACCCTAGATTTAATTTACACTGATGTTTGGGGTCCCTCAAATACAGTTGGCATTGATGGTTCACGATACTACTTGATTTTGGTTGATCATTTCACAAAATACATTTGGTTTTATCCAATGGCAACAAAATATGTAGTCAGCACAATATTTCCTCAATTTAAAAATCTTGTTGAAAACAGATTTCAATCCAAAATCAAGAGCCTTTACTCTGATAATGGTGGTGAATTTGTTGCTCTAAAAAAATATTTTTCCATACATGGCATAAGTCATTATACAATCGCTTCTCACACACCACAGCAAAATGGTGTATCCGAGCGTTGTCATCGTCATAATGGAAACAGGCCATACTCTTTTACATGATGCATCTCTACCATTAAAATATTGGCCTCATACTTTTTCACGGCAACATACCTTACAAATCGTCAGCCAAACCCCTCCTAAATAACAAATCACCTTTTGAGATATTATTTCATCAGCCACCAAATTATCTCAAACTCAAAAAATTCGAGTGCTTGTGTTTTCCCCTCACCAAGCCATACTGTAAAACCCCATTCTAATCATATATATATTCGCTTTGGTTTTGTTTATAAGGAGGGACTTTTCTGTCAAATTTTAAAGTTTGGTTAGTGATGAAAACGAAGAAATGGAAGCTGTTGGGTTTGCATGTAAGAAGGGCACAAAATTTGGACATTTTCGTAAAGAAAAGCTTAGGTGGCGGGGTTAGATTGAAATTTAGAATTTTTGGGGGGCATATTATAATTTCAGAAAAAAAAATTTTTGTTTAAAAGAAGAAGAAAACTGGGCAGTTCGCCCAAAAGAAGAAAAAGAAAAAAAAAAAAACAGAGAAGAAGAGAGAAGGAGAAGAAGAAGAGAGGAGAGAAAGGAGAGAAGAAAGAAAGGAAAGGAGAAAGAAAGATAAGAGAGAAAAGATAGAAGAGAGGATAGAAAGAAAGAAAGAAGAAGAAAAGAAGAAAAAGGAGAAGAGAGGAGAATGGATTTCGGCTGAAAATGGTAGAGTGAGAGAGAAGAGTGGAGGAGAGTGCAGGGAGCTTCGGCTGAGTTAGAATTGTGAGTGGAAAACGCATTAAATCCTTTTCTAAAGTTTGCATTTTTCAAGTTGCATGTTACTTGATGTTTATTGTTTCAAGCATTTAAAAGTTATGTTTAAATTGATTATTTGGAATATTGTTTGTACCATAGAGATGAGTTGTGGATGTTGTTGATTTGAAGAGTAGATGGAGAAAGGTTATAAAATAGGCAGAATTAGAAATGTTGAACTTGGCATGCATGTGTGCATTTTATGCATATACATAATGTTTGTGAATAGAAAAGAAATTATGGGAAATTGTATGTTGGATATGGTGGCTGACTATTGTGGTTAACTGAAATTGGAGATTTAATGCAATAGTTTTATACGGGTAGCGCATATATGTTGATCCTAAAGAACCAAGAGTTATTAAAGTATGTTTTTGGTTATAAAAAGTTATGCTGTGAAATTCTGACAGCCTAAACTTCTGAAAATTTTTTATGTTTCGGGTTTGTCAATGAAGCTAAATTTCGATATTTTGTTTTAGACTTATTAGAGATTGGTTGAAAATTGATTTCACCCCAAAATTCGAAGTATTGGATTTTTTAACGAATTTTGAATTCTGCTATGAAATTCTGGAATTTCATGTTTTCTGTAGAGCATGCATTTTTCAGAACTGAAATAATGACTTATACTTATCCAAATTGAGTGATTTTAAATTCTGGTGAAACCTATATGTGTCTAGTTTAATTCTGGAGAGTTTCAAGAGGTTTAGATTAAGGGCTGAATTGTTATGATTTTACAAGTCAGTAACCTCAATTCTGGAAACAGTTGGCAGATTTAAATGAGTTGAAAGAAAATTGTGTTTTAATAGTTATTGATTCTGAATGAATTGAAAATATTACTGGATCAACATATATTTGTCTTGAATGCCCCATTTAAATTATAGCTTGATTTGGTGAGTGGATTAAACCAAATCTTCTTCCAAATCTTAAATCCATGCTTGCATGTCAACTTGTGATTTTATTTTAAATGTTTTGTGAAGTTTGGTATATAGAATTTATATGTATTCATGCTATATGAATAAAATGTGCTGTTGAGAGTAGAGATGTGTTGAATTGTATACGGGTTGAGGATCGTGATGTGGTAGATGGTTTCTTGGTAAAAGAAAAAGAGAAGGGGTGCATTCTGTCAGTTTTGAAAGTATGTTTTAAAACTTGCATCTACTCCCATTTGCATGGATTTCATACGATTTGGCTGATTACTTTTATATGAAATGTGGTATATTATCTTATGATAGTGATGGACATATGCTATCGAAATGTGATATTGAAAGTAATTTTTAATCTGGGTTAAACTGTCAGTTTTAAAACATGTTTGGAAATTTCAGTTTCACCCTGGATGTGATTTTGAATATTATGTATATTGTAGATTTATAAGCACTTACGAAATATGCTCTGACTTACATGTTACTGAGATTATGCATGAGATTGTTATGGTGTTAAAAACACCTACGAAGTACCCATCCCCCAGTTTTCAGGCTCTGCCCACGCGATGCAGGATTCGCTGGGTATTGGGATATTTGGTCTCAGGCTCTGCGCATGGTATTGAGATATTTAGTGCTGCCTGGGCATTGAGTTTGTCCGCCAGGTATTGAGATGGTTTTCTTCAGGCTCTGCCCGCGCGATGATAGATCTTGCCCGTTATTGAGAAGTATTCCCAGCTCTGCCTGTTGTGGGATGCCCACCAGGTATCGAGATTTTTCCCAGGGTATAGTTGTGGTGAGAAATTTAGTATCGGTTTACTGTTTCGAAACAGGATATCAGTTTAAAGTTTTCAGATACCAGCCTACAGTTTCAGTATCAGTTAATAGTTTCAGTTTTCAGTATCTGATGGATAGTTTGCATTAGTTATATGAAACAGTTGATGTTGTAGCATGATTTATAGAAAACATTGTCTTAGAAGCATAAGCAGTCAGCAATTCTTTAAGTTCTCATAAAAGAATTTTCAGCATTTAGTAATGAGCTAGGATTCAGAAATTGTTGTCAGTTTAATTGATCAGATTATAATACTTAGAACAATTAGAAATGAGTTATGCATGCATACATGGATGATTAGCTGCCACCTTAAAAGAATGTTCATGGAATCATGTTGTTTTCTGTATTTTTATAAAAACCTTTGCATGCCATAACTTTTGTTTGACGAATGTTTTGCAAACTCCCCCTTTTCCCCACTCACTGAGTATTTCAGCTCACCCCTTTTTTTTAAATGTTTTTTTTCCCCCCACCAGGACCTTCCGAAGATCGTGCCGAGTAGTGAGCCTCCGCTCAGGGTTGTGCCACGCGTTGACATCTTTTATGTGGGTTTTATATTTACGTCGCATTGTAAAATTTGGACTTTCGTTTCAAGAACTCATGTTTTCCTTCATGTATTTCCTTTTGTTTCATGTTTTGGAATGTATAGTATAAGTGGAAAACCTGATACTACAATTTTCCCTAACTCTTTCCTTTTGTAAAACGAAAGATGATGCATGTCTTTTTTTTTTTGAGATGTTGGAAATGGAAATACTATGATGTTATTCAGGAAAAGTATGTCTTTAAACAAGTTTCGCAGTTTTTCTACATGACACGTCTCGGGTATCTGAGTCTTGTGGGAGCGCCCGGATCCTACTGGATGAGGAAATTCGGGACGGGTTGTGTCACATACAATACCAATGGGTGCGTTTGGTTCCATATTTTTACCTATATTCTGAATCTTATTCCCCAAATATTGTCTGGCACATTATTTGAGAAATATTACTATATTTTTTAATTATTTTTACACCCCTTAAGTTTATTAATTTTATTAAATACCACTAGAAAAAAGTTTAAAAATTAACAAAAACACCCCCACTGACCCATACTTGCCAGATTCCGGCAACCACCGTCGGTGGTAGCCAGAATCTATCACAACAGCCCACACCATGACCGGAACTGGCTGGTAATTCATCGATCTGACCTTTTCCAGCCAAATCCACGGTGGATTTGGCTGTCAACGACGGCCAAAGAAATGGCCGTCGTTGACGGTCAATGACAGCCAAATCTTGGCCATCGTTGACCGACAATGAAAACCATATCTTTGGTCATCACTAAAGGCCAAAGATAGACTTTTGCGGCCGTGGACGGCCACATCTGGCCAGATCCGTGGTGGATCTGGCCGAAAAATGCCATATTGACGCCATACCCACCAGATCCGAACTGTATGTGTCGTTACGCAATTTTTCAGCCAGATTCCGACGATGGTGGCCGGAATCTGGCACTGCGGATAGTGGGGGTGTTTTTGTCATTTTATAAAAATTTTATATATTAGGGTGTTTAGTTAAATTAGCAAACCTAGGGAGTTTTTTTTATAAATTTTTAAATTTTACCTCGTAATACTCCCCTATTCAACTGCCCAATATTATTCCCAAAATTCTATCCAAAATAATAAAACAAACGGACTCAATAAGCTCCGGCCCAAAGCTACCCCTTGTCCCTTCATGGGCTATTCCTTAACCCAGAATGCTGACAAATGCCTTGGCCCAAAAACCCAAAAACTCTATATGTCCAGGCACGTCCTGTTCGATGAAACCCAAACCTATCCCCATCTTCATTCGGTCGAGCCACAGCCCCCATTGTCTTCTCCCTCGTTTGCGACAACAGGGTCACCCATCGTTGTGCCGTCTTTGCCGGAGCAACCACCAGCGACAACGGGAGGCAACACCATTTCCGCTTCATCCTCAGGTAACTGCCCCATTTCTTCTACTTCTAATTTTCGAGAAATGAATTCTTCCTCTTCTTCCCCTAATTCATCTCAATCTCATGAAAATCTGTCTTCTCACTCACATTCACACACATCTCAAGCCACAAAAACCGAAATTGTGCATGATGACCTACAAATTGAACCTACCTTGCAAAACCCTAACCGAACCCACCCAATGACCACACGGTATCAGGGTACTAGTTTCTAGCGAACTATTGAATTCAGCTCTAAACCTTTGAAGCCTACTGATAGTAATGTCTGTATTGAATGGGTTTGGTCTTCACTTCATGCGTTAGCAAGCATTGATGCGTCATTCAGTAATGTTTATATGTTAGCTTACTCAGATGTGTGAGACATCTAGTATTCTTGTTAGTTGTTATGCAGGATTGCAATTCTAATAAGAGAGGAAAAGTTGGCTCGAGTTAGATATGAACTGAAAACAGTTCTGAATAATATTTGCTATATAAATTATACGAAGCTTGAAATTAGAGGGGCATTCTGTCCACTAGAAAAAAAAAATCACGGCTATAATAAGCCTTCTTGTTTCTACTTTTAAGACTAAACAGAGAAGGGACCTTTTAATTTGTTTGTTGCAAACTTATTTAGTTGTTGCTATTAGTAGTTCCCATTTTGGAGGTATTATTCTTGAAACTTGTATAGATGTGTTAAGTACATATCATTTTTTTTCTTTCAGATGCACTTGAACTCACCATGTTTGTGTGTAGTGTTTGACGAAGAAAATAAATAGAAAATATATCTAAGATGCATATATTTCAAAGAGCTTTAGGAATGCATTGGGTACTTGTGAAAGTAGTAAAAAGAAAATGTGATGGAAAAAGAAATTTTAGAGATCAAAGTACATGAAAGGAGCTCTGACATAGAGGATTGAAAAATCACAGAATATTTCTGAGTTTGCCTAATGTGGAAGATGACATGTGATCCACAGATCTACTGAGATCTTCTAGTTGGTTCTGTCTTCAGCATTCCATCAAATAGAGTTTGTACTCTTTTGGTGGATATTTAATTCTTATAGATTATCAGTAATCTCTTTCTGCCAGTAGCAGTGGGGCTGTGAAATTGTAAAGAATGATTGGCATTATTTGTGGAAATTTGCCTCTAATAAAACCTTTGTGACAGACCAGAGGCTTTAATCGAATAGGGTATTATGTTTCATCATGGACCATTTCATAAGGAAAACTATGTGATTTTGCTCAGCACAAAGCTTTCAACTAGCTGTGTTTGCTCCTAAATAATCCTGAGATGACATATTGTTGTTTAGCTGTTGAATAAGCTTACGTAGTTACATTTACCTGTTGACAACTATCTTAGAATATGCGTGAAGACTTCTTAATCATCCTTATAATATTTATCTCTCTTACCCTGACCCCCAAAATGAAAACCAAAAGTAAAGGAAAAATTAGGCTTGTTTCTTGCAGTGAGTTATAAATATATTTAAATTTTATGCATATACCAGAAACTGTACTTAACATTCTTATTCTAATTTTTTTTTCTGAAATTATTTTTCTTCATGACTGTTTTTGGCATTCTTTACGCATTGCTGCTTAACTGTTTTTGGCATTCTTTACGCATTGCAGCCTTTTTAACTCTTAATGAATGTTATATTAATTCCATGATTACCAGGTTTTTATTTTGTTAAATAATGGATTTCATTTGTTTTTTATGCACATTGTTAAATATCAGGTTGATGCTATGGATATGTCAGATGCAGTCATTGTCAATTCCAGCAGATTAAAATCTGTTGTGTGGAATGACTTTGATCGGGTGAAAAAGGGTGACACCTGTTTGGCTGTCTGTAGGCATTGCAAAAAGAAACTTAGTGGATCTAGTACTAGTGGAACGTCACATTTGAGGAACCACTTAATTAGGTGTCAGAGAAGATCTAATCATGGCATATCTAACCATGGCTTGGGTCTTTATTTTCCAGCAAAGGGAAAGAAAAAAGAAGGAACCCTTGCCCTTGTGACTATGGATCAGGAACAGAAAAAGGATGAAGTAATTAACCTTGGGAATATTAAATATGAGCAAGAGCCAATGAAAGAAGACACGGTTAACATTGTGAATAATAATTTTGATCAAAGGCGAAGTCGATATGATCTTGCCCGCATGATCATCCTACATGGCTATCCTTTGGCTATGGTTGAGCATGTTGGATTCAGGATATTTGTTAAGAATCTACAGCCACTTTTTGAACTTGTGACATGTAACAGAGTTGAGGCTGACTGTATGGAAATCTATGCTAAAGAGAAACAAAAAGTGTATGAAGTGTTGGATAAATTACCTGGCAAAATCAGCATCAGTGCTGATGGGTGGGCTACTACAGGTGATTCTGAGTACTTGTGTTTGACAGCACACTTTATTGATGAAGATTGGCAATTGAAAAAGAAGACTTTGAATTTCATTATGACTGATCCTTCTCATACAGAAGATGTGAGTTCAGATGTTATAATGACTTGTCTAATGGATTGGGATATAGATCGTAAGTTATTTGCAGTGACATTTGATAGTGGGGCTAGCAGTGACAACATGGTCTATAGAATTAAAGATAGGCTGTCTCAGAACAGATTCCTCTATTTAAATGGCCAATTGTTTGACGTTCGCTGTGCGCCAAATGTTGTCAGTCTGATGGTTCAAGACGCTCTGGAAGCACTCTGCGAGGTGACTTACAAGATTAGGGAAAGCATCCGATATGTCAAAAGTTCTCAGTCAACACTAGCAAAATTCAATGAAGTGGCTCTAGAAATTGGAGTTGAGAGTCCTAAGTGCTTGTGTGTTGATAATCCATCACAATGGAACTCTACGTATTCAATGCTTAAAGATGCATCAGAGTGCAGGGACGTGTTTTTTCGTCTGCAAGAATATGAACCAGACTACAGAATGTGTCCATCTGATTTAGAGTGGGAGTGAGTGAGTGCCATTATTGGCTGCTTGAAGCTCTTCGTTGAAGTTACTAATGTTTTCACAAAGAGCAAGTATCTGACTGCAAATATATATTTTCCTGAGATTTGTGATATACATCTGCAGTTGATTGAATGGTGCAAGAATCCTGATGAATTTCTTAGTTCTTTGGCAATGAAAATGAGAAGCAAATTTGATGAGTACTGGGATAAATGCAACTTGGGTTTAGCAGTTGCAGCCATGTTAGATCCTCGATTCAAGATGAAGTTGATGGAATATTACTATCCGCTATTATATGGTAATAGTGCTTCAGAGCTGATAGATGATGTTTTTGAGTGTATTAAGACGCTATACAATGAACATTCTATTGGCTCTCCATTAGCTTCACTTGACCAAGGTCTGGCTTGGCAAGTAAGTGGTAGCTCTGGCACTTTGGCTAGTTCTGGAAAGGATTCAAGGGACAAACTAATGGGGTTTGACAAATACCTGAATGAAACTTCTCAGACTCAAGGGTCCAAATCAGATCTGGACAAGTACTTGGAAGAACCTCTCTTTCCACGTAATGTTGATTTCAATGTATTAAATTGGTGGAAAGTTCATACTCCAAGGTATCCAATCCTATCAATGATGGCACGCAATATTTTGGGAATCCCCATGTCAAAAGTTGAATATGACTCTGCATTCAACATTGGAAAGAGAGTGCTGGACCATGATCGAAGTTCACTGCGCCCAACTCTTGTTCAAGCTTTGATGTGTTCTCAAGATTGGATGAGGGAGTGAAAGTGCAAGGTGATCTTCCTTCTTTTATTAGTTTCCTGTAGTTTTCTAGGTTGTTTATAGACTCTTTTCTTGTATCATTTTGCAAAACCATCTATTCGACTTTCAGATGTGAAGCCCAGCTACAATCTATATAAAGTAAGGCCGCCGCAAATTTAATGTTGGTTCAATGGTGTGCGTGCCTTGGCATTACAAGATATAGCGGCAAAGCTAAAATTATATGTCGTATTTAAATTAATACAAGTATAAATTGAAGAGGCATCGTATTTATATGGATACAAAAAACAATCACTTGGTTGGAGATAATATTTAAATCTTATGACTTCAATTTGACTTATTGCATAATTTTCAAAATTAAGCTTAAGCATGATAAACATGGCATGCTCGAATAAAACGAAGGAGTCCATATCTTGAAAAGGACCAAATAAATTATACTACATAATTAGAAGAAAGATTATTCACGACTAATAGCCTCTGTGGAAGCGTAATAATGATATATGAAATTTTAAAAAAATAATTAAAAATCACATCATAACTAAAATAATGAAAGAAACCATTGTGAAATTGTACAAATATAAATATTCTCTTGCCATAAGTTTGTACGTAGTCATTTATATTTTTTTTACACAAAACAATGAAATTAATTTTGTTATGTGGGTGGATTGGATGGTGACATTTTATGTTGGCATTTATGGTATTAGGTAATGCATTAAATATTGGCATCTTTCCATACCCTCCATTCATCTTCCATTTTTAAGCATCTTCTTGCACATAGCTGTGGTCCCTTCCCTTCTCTCCTTTATTCATTTCTTGTACTATACTTGAAAATGAAATGTTTAAAATTCCTCAATTAAAATTGCATTATCATTTTCTTCATTATATGTAATTTACTTTCCACTCCACCTACCTAGAAACGCAAGATCGTATATATATATATATATATGCTAATTCATGCTTTTGTTTTTCACCACAACTTGCATATCTACATAGAGATTTGGATATCATGATGTTTTCCCTTTCTCTTCTTCATAATGTTACTTTTTTCAACTTTGTTGCCATCACACTCTGATCCTATTTCGGCAACTTCATTCCTTTTTTCACTCTTTTTTTTACCTTCTTATTGTTTTACAACTTTATTTTTGCTTGTCTCGAAGTAGATCATTTCCTAACTCCTTCCTTACTTTATCTGCGTATCATCTAATTTTATACGTCTTTTACTTTTAAATTTAATATATATTTTAACAATAATACTATATATACAAAAAAAATCTTACAAAAGTTTATATACAAAGTGATGTGACGGAAAATTAACGAAAGAGTGAATACAAAAAGTCAAACTTAATGGCTGCGTTTGGTTCAAAATTTGGGGTTTTGGGAAAAGTTTTTTGAAAAAAGTTAAAAAAAAGTTGAATTGGGCGGGTATTACAAGGTAAAATTTATAAATTAATAAAATCTCCTTTATGTTTTTTTTTTACAAAATACCCCCTATAATAAAACATTAAAAGTTAACAAAAATACCCCTAACCCACCCTCAAACACCCCCAGCCGGCAACCACCACCGGAGGTGGCCGGAGTCGCCGTATGGGCGCATGACCGGTTGGATCTTGCCGGTCATGCGTCGCTATGGCCTTTTCCGGCCAGATCCATGGTGGATCTGGCCGGAAAAGGCCAGATCTACGGTCAGATCTGGCCGTCAACGGCCAGATCTGGCCGTATTTGCTCTCAACGACGGCCAACAAACGGTCGTCGTTGATGGTCAACGACGATCGTTTGTTGGCCGTCGTTGAGATCGTGTTACGGCCAAAGATCTGGCCGTCAACGGCCAGATCTTTGGCCTTAGATCTGGCCTTTTCCAGATCTGGCCAGATCCACCGTGGATCTGGCCGGAAAAGGCTAGATCGGCGCACTGCCGGCCAGATTCAGCCGGTAGTGCGCCATTCTACCAGATTCCGGCCATTTTCCAGTGGTGGTGGCCGGAATCTGGTAAATGTGGATTATTGGGGTGTTTTTGTAATTTAAAAAAAATATTTAGGGGTATTTAATTAAATTATCAAATTTAAGGGGTTTAAAAAAAGTTGAATAATTTTGGGAGTAGTATTCCCAAAAATCTGAATTTTTAGGTATTTTACTGTTTAACTTTTTTGGGAATACTAAAAGTAGTATTCCCAAATGTGAAACAAACGCAGCCAATATGTTCACTCTTCCATTCATTTTCTATCATTTCACTTTGTATAAAAATCTTTATAAGAATTCTTTATATGTATAGTATTATTTATGTTTTAATATTGACCACTTTGATTACATTAATTCTGCTGTAATTAAATATATACATAATCAGAAGATAGATTTATGCTATAAATTAAGGAAGTTTTAATAATTCAAAATTACTCGTATTCGTGTGTATTTTAGTTTGAGTAAGGAGATAAAAGGAAAAAAAAAATAGTTAAAATGTGATTTTAGCATAAATCCGGGGGAACAACTCTTATTGGCACGAGTTGTCTTATCACTACCAAAAAGTTGACATTGCAATCCATTACCATTCTAAATGTTTTTTACCTCTAAAGAAAACCACTGAATGTGTAATTTATATGTTCTTGGCCATTTTTGACGCAACTAATTCTCATGGTACATTTGACTAATTAACGTTTTATATTAATACATGAGATAAGACATTGTTGGTTGATGGGGACTTAAATAGAGTAATCATCAGCTCAGCCCCATCATTAATTAATTTCTAATATATATATAAATATCCGACAGCAATTTGGTCCTCAATCAATTACTTGAAGAAACAAGAAATTTCCTTTTGGGACGAAAAGGGAAAATGTGGGCAGTGAGTTTAAAGAATGAGAATGGGACTGAAGCAGCAGCTAGCTAGCAGAGCTGAAGCTTTAATGGACAGTAAATAAGTTCATGCGAATAAAAGACAAAGATAGTTTCTGAATGAAGGAAATGGTAGACGACCAGAAAAAGACCGTTGTATAGTGTAGTCACTGTATGAGAATGGAGCTCATTTACATTATACACTAATTTGTTTAGAGATGAGACAAGCATGTTGATGTTGTCTGGTGGCTCTCCACTCAAACCGCGTTATCCATAACCCTACCTCATTTATACATTTATTTTTAAGACTTCCTTCATTGCAATTACATTCTTAATTAAAAGCAAAACATGCAGTGTTAAGGGATATTTTGGCCTACAGCTCTGTACTTAAGCAATAATCGAACTGCGAGTTGTAGTATCAGTGTAGAGTGAAAGGGTAGGGTCATTGAGAATGATGCGAGAGGAAGATTTAATTAGTACATTATTAATTTTAACTACTGTTGTATTATTTTCTGGGTTCAGATACTCCCTCATAGGTTCGTGCCTACATACTATCCAAGTAAACCGGCAAGAGAACACTCGTATAATTTAAATTTGCTACACGACTTTGAATTAATGGTAGACTTGTATATTCCCATGAGTTCACTGATAACAAAAACAAAAAATTGAAGGTACAAAGCCTTAGTTTGAGTTGATAACGCTGTGTAGGGAGTTGTTTAGGAGATTTCTTTCTAAGTATAGTTTAATTAAGAAATGAAAAGTTTCTTGGAAAGGAAGGACAAGTATTGAAATAGTTTTTATTGTGTATATTAGAGAAAGGAAATGGTGCGGTTTGTGATTGATCCCATTAACAAATTAGCAATTATAAGCACCTTTTGGCATACGATTTTTTGAAAGAGAGAAACCATTCAACTGGTCGGCAATCATATGAAAGATTTTAAGTATGACAAAATTAGGTTATGTTTTAGATCTTGAGATCGTTTAAGAAGTCTGAAATTCAAATTCTAGGAAATGCATGTGTGTATGAATTTCTTTATTTAACTCATTTTAATTGTTCTCCATATTAAAATATCTCAAAGCCAGAAGAAGAACGTGAGAGGAGACCCTCACCCAATAACACCTTCAAAGATATTAAGAATATTAATTAATTAAATTAATATACACATTAATTCAGAGTTAAGGGAGGAGTTTACTTCAATTTAATTAAACACTTTTGCTTAATTTTGATGATAGAGTAAGACTATACTCCAAATTTCTATTTCTAAGTGATTTGGTAATCATCCACATAGCAACAATCATTAATTACATAATATTGAATCTACATGAATACCTCATCAAATATATGTTGACGGAGGTCATTCTGATCATAATTTATGAAAAAGACCATAATTACTGTAATTAAACCCTTTTTTTTTCTAGAAGATCATTCAAAATTAGTACTGGAAAAAGGCAGGGGGGATATTGGAATGCAAGAATAAGAGTGTTAAAGTAATGTTCTATCATCAATATTAAAGACAAGAGAATAAGCTGTTTAATGAAATGTAGAGCCTATGTAGTAAGTGAGACTAAAGGCAAATTAGAATCAATACAAAAAATCGATTGAAATGAGTTGATTTCACATAATAAATTGGTAATTATACGAATAGAAAATCGTTGTACTCTTGAGAGTTTGAAATGAAAGAGCCTTTCCCTATATAAGAAAGCACAAACTAAGTTAATTTAAGTTGGGTTTCCAATACGTATAATGCTTCTCACCTTTTAATTAATCTAAATTATTTTATCATTAGCATCGGGTTAATTCTATTTGGTTGCAATTTCTATATATTTTTTTCAGAGAATCACAGCATGGGTAGGTGTAAACATCAGTATCACAAAGTTTTCTGCGGATCAAGAAATGATTCGTAATTGATATCTCATGCGTATTTAAGGTAATTTACGAACCCAAGGGCTAAGTTGATGCTAAAACAGAGTTTGGCTATGCTGCAACCCAATATTATTGGTCCTGGGGGACTAATAAAAAGAGTGGTCCATATGGATGGTAACAAGTCCATATGGATGGTAACAAGTATCTATATCTAACTCTAAGGCTGTAAAACTAAAATATTCCATTGCCACATTTCATATTCCGAACAAGATTTTCCTTTTTATTTTGGTAGATGGAGACATGGATCCCTCTAAGTAAAATGTTTGCAATTTAAAATGCCAGATACTAAATTAGGGTTTGGATATTGTGACTTCAAGTTTTAACTTAATTTTAAACACCGTTTATTTTTGTTAATCCACCGATGATAGATAAAAGATAATAATAGTTACTTCTTAAAGCCGACTCAACATTTCTCAACACTATTAGATGGACAAAGATGAATGTT